AAACTTGTTTATGAATAATTTATGTATAATTTTATTTTAAATGTCATATTTAAAAAAATAAAATTGTACACCAAATTAATTTGATTATGTTTGGTTGCCACAAATTTAGGCCCAAAACATTATATTAGCAGAACTCTCATATAAGTATATTGAGTTATTATTCTTATTAACTATTTTTTCTAATTAATTAAAGCCTGTGAGTGTTATATTTTGGGTGAGTAATCATATGAAATGGGAAATAAAACTTTGAATAAATTTGGAAAATTTAATGAAAAGAAGACTTTTATTATGATTAAAATTGGTTTCATAACTTTCTTCTCAAATTTGTTGGTTACACTTCACACATATATATAGAGAACATTGAGGTGCTCTAAAGAATTCTCACACCAACGGCCTCTCTCATCAACTTTTACTAGTACATTACCCGTGCCATGCACGGGACTTTATTATTTCTGGCATTTTTAAAAGACAAATTTGTAGTCAAATTCAAATTATATAATAGAGCAACGACCATGATAGTAATTAAACCTAATAAATACTTAAAATAGGATATGTGTAATTATTTATATTAATCATTTCGGACTTGTAAAATAGGAACTCATTTGACAATTGTGGGCTTTCACATAATTTTTAAACATTGAGTTGGCCAAAATCTAGCCCATTTAAAATAAAAACAAAGTCAATGGCATTTACAATGTTGGCTTTGAAAGTTCATATCGGCTTAAACAAAACAGAAAAAATTATCCAACGATCCAGATTAGTCAATGCAAATCGACAACTTAGATTACACTTAACATCGTAAAATAGCGAAATTATCGGACCTATTTCTTCCTTCATTTTTCGCTGCTTCCAGCTTCTTCTTTCGTCTTTTTTCATCAATTTTCTTCCAACTTTTGCGATTGTAACACTGAGGGTTTTAGACATACATCTTTTTTTTCCATTGAATCGATGCTTTAAATTAGTTGTTTTAGGTATTTTGCACAAAAGAAAAAAAAAAGTTTGAGGTCCATTCTGCTGGATCAATAGTTAAGAATCATCTAATACTGTAGCGTGTTATCATACATGAGAAACAACATATTATGCAATTATCTAGTTCTTAGTGAGAAATATATGTAAGAAACAACATATAAAAAAATTTAGATTATTTATTAGATAAAAATTGTTCTTACTTTTTAGTTACATAAATATGGAAATGAATCAATTTGTTTAACTGTGGTAATTATGCAATTTCTACTTCTTAGTGAGAAATATACATGAGAAACACCATATTAAAATTTGAAATAAAACTGTCAGTTAGTATATAGACAATCAATGAATTTTATGATAGAAGATTTTAATCGTGAATTTTATGATAGAAGAAGGTATTATCTAAAAATATTAGGTTTGATTTTTAAAAAAAAAATCAATTACCGATTTAAAACATTAGTATGGTAAAAAATTTCTAATTACAAATTGTAAATATTATAATAAAAGATATTATTACATTGCGTTTGATTTTTTTAAAAAAAAAAAAAACTCAATTAACCGATTTACGATTGTTAATGAACAAAATATAATGGAAAGAATTCGAACATTAAAAAGTATTGTAGTTAGATAAATTTTGACAACCAATTGCACGTGAGATATAACGGAACTGAAAATATTTACCTATTGCATTCGTAGGATTTTCAAAAAATAAAAAATAAATCAAATAAAATTACCACGCTAAGAAACTTAAAAATTTTAAGTTGAAATTTAGTTTCTACTGTAGTTTGTCTTTTAAATATTGATAGATTAACCAATTTATAAAATACAAAAAATTATATATTATTGATCTGATGAGTCTCCACAACCAAGCAATAACATTTAAAGACAATGATATATAATAAAAGTTAATTATATATAGACATGGCCACGGATCAACCGGCCCGCCGACCCGGCACGGACCCGGCCCGGTCAAACCCTTTGACCACGGGTCCGGGCCCGGCTCGGATTTTCAACCGGGCCGATTCAGGGTCGTCTTTTTTTTTACACCGACCCGGCGGGCCGGGCCGGGTCCGGTTCGACACGAGAAAAATCAATTGTTTTTGAATTTTTCTATTTTTTTCTTCTTTTTTTAAATTTTCCCAGTCCCGCCGGGTCATGGGCCCGGCACGGGTTTAGGACGTGCCGGTTCAGGATCGACAAAACCCAACCCTTCGGCCCGCCGGGCCGGGCCAGGCCTTGAACCGGCTGGCCATTTGGCCATGTCTAATTATATACATTGTCATAAGATATGAAATACAAAATAATATATAAACC